AACGGAAAAGATCAATGGTCATAGTGGCAAGAGAGCTGGGACATGCGAGCCAGGGAGCAGGGTGCTACAGCCGGGTGAGAGGTGGGGAAGGGACGGGGCGGGCATGGGAGTCAGGGAGCAGGGTGCTACAGTCAGGTAAGAGGTGGGGAAGGGACGGGGAACATGGGAGCCAGGGAGCAGGGTGCTACAGTCGGGTAAGAGGTGGGGAAAGGACAGGGGACACAGGAGCCAGGGAGCAGGGTGCTACAGCCGGGTAAGAGGTGGGGAAGGGATGGGAGCTCAGCACGGTTCTTCTGGTTTGGCAGTTGGAAGAGGAAGCTGGGCAGGGTAGTCTGTCTTTGGGAATGGGTGGAGTCAACTGATAGAATGAGAACTGGTTGGAAGGAGAATGAGCAGGAGAGGTGGCACTAACAGTGGGGTGGGGCAGCTGGACTGAAACAGAAGGGAACCCTTCTGTCACTCAGGAGGTGGGGGCATGGAGAAAGGTAAATAAGCATGTTTCCAAAGCCAGGCGGTGGTGGTGCATTCCTTTAGTCCCAGGATTTGGGAGTCAGAGGCAGGTGCATCTCTGTGAGTTTGAGGCCAGCCTCGTCTGGTCTACAGCCAGGACAGCTAGGGCCACACAAAGAAAATCCTGCTTAAAAAAAAAGTTTCTAGTTTTGAAGGCAAGATGGTTTTAATCTGAAGTTTTTGAGCTTTTCTCCCTTAAGGATAAGAATAAAAGGGTGTCAGCAGCATTGCTAAGAAAGAAGTGTGAGACCAGACACTCAAGTCTGCCAGAGTCTGTGCAGAGTGGAGAGATGGCCCCATAAACCAAAGAAGATATTAACATGGAGATGACTGGGAAGATGCCTCCACTCGCAGCAGCTGACACTTTGATTATATGCCAAAGGACTTTGCGGTCTGCGTTAGGAGCTGTTGAGTGGATGATTCCAGCAGGGCATGGATATGCTCTTTGGCAGGTGGCTGCAGAGGAGAACAGGCCAGAAGGAACTGAAGACTGTTTAGGACACTCTCTGGGTCACACACCTAGAGAGGAGTGGACAGGTAGGTTCTGTTTGCACAGGGGAGTTTCTAGTGTTTGTCCCTTTGTTCTGGGTCAGAGTGGCTTCCCAAGACCTTCAGCCTTCCCTTGTCACCACCTACTAAGTGCGTCTTCTTTTTCCTGATGAAGATTTAAGTGACCAACAAGGGAGAGTAAAGTTGGTGGGGTGAGGAGGTATGTTTCAGAAGTGGAAACGTTTCTCCAACCCCTTAAGTTAGCCTCCAAATTGCTGCCAATCCGTGCCCATCTGGACCAGATAATCTACTTGTAACCAATAAGTAGCTCTGGAGTCTTCACAGTTGTGAGCGTGTGTGGGCACCAGATTCGCTTCACTGGTCCCATCGGTGTGGCGCATCCTGCACTGGTGCCACCGCACCTGTTCCCATTTGATGGACATGTCACTTGCACAGAGTGGGGAGCCCCCAGCTAAGAACAGTCACCAATACTGACCCCATGCACTTTGTTCTTATTGTGCTTGTATGGTAGTGTTCTAATCGACACAATGTGGAGTTTCCTGAGTTGTTAGAATTTTAGATTACTGGGCAAATTTGTAAAGGTTTAACCCATTTCTTTTCTCTTTTCACCTTTGAACTTCTTTGTATTGCTTTCTCTTGTCCTCCCTTCCTTCCTCTGTCCTTCACTCCCCATCCCCTCTTTCCTTGATCGGAATGTGAGGTAGAGGCCATGAGCTTCACCCTGAGCTGGGTCTGCAGTGACGCAATGGGTTCTATTTCCATCTTTCTCCTTCAGTCACACATGAGCTGCCAAGGACAGGCCCTTTCTAAGTGTCTGGCTGGCCGCTGAGACATTCTCTTTAGGGAAACAGGGTCAGGAAGAAGACCATGAAATCAGTTCTTCTCCCTCCGTCCTACCCTCTGTTTCTTTGCCCCATTCAGAACTGTGCATTTGCTTGGTGCCAGACCTAAGAGAGGCCTTAATGAAACTCTGGCATTCAACAGTGAAAGCATGGATTTCTCTCGAGGGTCTGCCTCTGTGTCCACGGGCAAGTTCAGCTCTCCATTTTCATGGTGAAATAGGAGGAAACTGAGTCAGATGGTTTCTGAGGAACCTTTTATTTTAATGGCTATCATAGTTAAGTGGTGTTTTAATGAGTAATTTCTTACTCCATCCTGGACAACTTTTCTTTACACATTAACACTTATATAGACTTTCCTATTAGCCAGTATGTGTTCTAAAATTATGAAGGCACTTAAATATGAAGACACATTTTGGTATAGTTATAATATGAAATACTGTGTATTAATTAAGAATGTTGCTTATAAAAACTTTTCCTGTCAAGTGGTGGTGGCACATGCCTTTAATCCCAGCACTCAGGAGGCAGAGACAGGTGGATCTCTGTGAGTTCGAGGCCAGTCTGATCTACAGAGAGAGTTCCAGAACAGGCTCCAAAGCTACAGAGAAACCCTGTCTTGAGACCCCCCCCCCACCAAGAAAAAAGCTTTTCCTGGTCTGGAAGTCCACGTGCACTGTGATAGCAGGGACAGATACAGGCAGGAAGGAGTGCAGCACCAGGTGGTCAGTAGTCTGTTAACAACAAAGTTTTCATATTGGTGCCCTTGACTATGGAATTGCACATGTTTAATTTTGTGGGAATTGAATGCAGAGCCTCAAACACGCTAACTACATACCCTACCACTAACCTGTAACCTCAGTCTACAAATGTCTACATTTTCTACTTTGTTACTTTCATTTTTCAAAATAATACCACAGGGTCAGAAAGATGGCTCAGAGGGCAAACATGCTTGCTGTCTGAAGTGTGACCCCTGGACCCCACAGTGGAAAGAGAAAAGCAACTTCCAAAAGAGTTCTTCTTTGACTCCAGCACATGTTCTGTTTCTCTCTCTCTCTGTCTCTCTCTGTCTCTCTCTGTCTCTGTCTCTCTCTCTCTCTCTCTCTCTCACACACACACACACACTCCACAATCATGTTTTTTTCTATAATTAAAAAAGAATGGTATTTTTAAGTATATAAAAGTGACTGTTACTCCAAAAATTTTCATTTTCATTTTAGAAGATTCTCTGGAAGTCTGTATAATTTTTGACAGACATTGTCAATATGGGCAGAATCGATAAGCTACATTTTCAAAACTTTGAATTCACTAAATTTTATGTTTTTGAATATAATGAAAATAAAATCTTTAAGTAAATTTTGTGTGACAAAGCTAAGAGTAAAAAAATCAAAATTATAATTCACGTTGTTTTCCAGATCTGCCTATAATGTGACTCCCACCCCAGATTAGAAGCCTATAAAACTGATAAGATTCTAGTATATGTCTGAAGAATGACAATCTTAAAATACACAGAAACACCCTGAGCTCCGAGAGGAGGGAGGAAAGGCAGACCTCTGAGAGATTTTTCTGGAAAAGGCTCTTAGATGATGCTCACTCAGAATAGGTGCTATATGACGTGTTTGCTGAAACATGACTTGGGATATCAGACCATAGACCAAGGGACACTGTGAATGCAAAAGGATGTAAGTAAACCAGAGAAGGCACACCCTCCATGTATGGAAGAGAAAAGCCAGGAGGAATAGCAGGTCGGGTTACGTGGACCAATGGAAGCCCATCCACGCCCCCACAATGGAGGGGAGGAAAGAAAGCAGAGTGACCGGAGCTGAGTTGTCAAGGAAGGATTCCCTCCTCCTCCTTTTGCTTATTTCCAAATGGCCATTACATAGCTTGGCATTCAGAGATTTAAAGATTAAAAGGCAGACTGCACTGAGGCCTCCTGAAGCTGTGGCCAACACTCCCTACATGTCAGCCAGATAGGCAGAAGCCTACTCTTGGCTTGCCTGGCCCCTGAAACTCGTAAGGGAAGGCTTCATATGCAGCCATGCTGTCCAAAGTATGGCCCTTTGATCCACAGTAGCCAGGAGGCTGGGGGATGGCTCGGGCTCCCTAGATACAGTGGGGAGATCTGTATCTTAGAAGATTCCCTGGAAATCTGGATAAATCTGACAGATGCTGTCTATTGGTGTGGAATCCATAAGCTACATTGTTAGAACTTTGAATTCATTAAAATTTCTGTTTTCAAATATAATAAGTAATAAATTTTTTTAATGTAGCAAAAAGATTAATCCTCCATCTAAAATTTGTGTCTTTCCCCCAGATAAGATAACCAGAAGGAAATTGACACTTAAAATTTTCTTTTTAAACCTGGTTTGTGCCAGGCAATGGTGATCGATGCCTTTAATCCCAGCACTCAAGAGGCAGAGGTCTGGTAGTTCAAGGCCAGCCTGGTCCACAGAGCAAATGTGAGGACAGTCATGGCTACAGAGAAAGTCTGTCTTAAAAAACCAAAACCCAAACAAACAAACAAATAAAATCCTGGTTTATAGGAAAACCAACATTGCCTTAGCTATCCCAATTTCCTAAATTCTTTATAGCTCTTTATAATTCTAGGCAAATTTTATTTTCATGAGGAGATATATTTAACACAGACTTGTAAAATTTTTGTTTTCTACCATTTCCATGTTCTAGAGGGAAATGTTTCCTTGTATTTGACCTCTAAGCTCTTGGAAAGAATTTTAACTTGGCTTCTTGTTGCTGATGTGGAAAGTAGTGTTCTGGTGTCTGTGCTGAAAATGCACTGGCAACCTACTAAGTGTTTGAGAATTCACACTGAGAAATGACCTGCCTGGGCACAGGAAGAATTCAAGTGGCATCGAGCCAGCATCCCCACAGACTCTAGACTTTTCTAAGCAGATGGCAGTCCCACGCATGACATCACAAACTTACGTCATCTGGCAAGCACGCACATCAGTTTAGCCTTGGCCTCCAAGGGCAAAAGGTCTGGGTCCTTGAAGTTTTTTTTAAAGTTATTTTTATTACTAAAGAATGTTTTAAATGTCTTCTGAACATTTGGACTAAGTGAGAGAAAGGGATGAAGGGATCTAATGCTGGAATAAACAGAAACTCAGAAAAGTTCAGTCTCACCTGATTGTCGGACCCGTTGGAGAGTTTGCTGGACCAGAACTTCCGATCGTGGGACGATGATGATGAAGTCCACTTTGCTAAAGTGGCCAAGGTCCAGGCTCTGGCTGCCACTGTCCGCAATTGCACACACCTGGGACAATAGTCTTCTGGCAACTGTGAGCTGTGGTTGATAAATTTGGAAGGTTTCGTTATCTACATCTAAAATTAAAAAAAGTTATAAGAACAATATTAATTTAGTTCTTTGACAGGCATTATGAATCCATATGGAGACCTAAACACAGTGGCAAAGTGATGTCTTGCGGATGGACCTCTATGAATTTGCCCGTGTGCCCTAAACCTGACTGAGAGGCTATCTAGAGAACTGCATGAGACAGTTTTACAAATGAATTATTTAAAATCTGGAGGATTATCTTACAGTCCTTTCCCTAAAAGCAGAGACAGGCCACACTGTCACAGCTGGACCAGGACTTGGCTGCAGAAAGGCCATATTTAGGTCTTTAGGATTCTCAGTACTGTCCAGTGCTCAAGCCCAGGCCGCCCAGGGAGGCAGGCAATGCTGCAGCTCTAACACTGCAGGATTCCTTTGGTTTTCTGGATGATTCCACAGTGATCATTTCTTCTTCAGCAAGTCAGCGGCAACATGGCCTGAAATATCCTCTCTGTGACCAGATAACATGGCCAGAGACATAACCTTCACCTTTCTTCCTGTTCGGCTTGGCTTTGTTAGCATGTGTGACCTGGCAGGCCTAGGAGGTGCAGTCATGGCCAGGGCTGAGGCCAGGACTATCCAGAGACCTGCCTTGTGACACAGCCAGCCGGGCTGTCAATAGTGAGATGCTGTACCGTCCAGATACTCTATTAATGACAGAAGCTCTTTATTACAAGTTTTTACCAAGCCACCAATCCCTGTATACATCCCCCCCTCTCCACAGACAACAGAAGATCCAAGTATAGTGAACAAAATGCCTGGGCAGGGAACTGCCATGCCTTCTTGAAAACGTTGCTCCTTATCGGGGACACGTTCTGGCACTTTAACTGAAGTGAAATTACAAGGGTCTAATTAACTAGCGCTCCCTAGTGATCTAAACTGAGGCACGGCTGGGGCAGCTGGTACGCTGGACACTGACTGCAAGTCCCTGCTTGCTGACAAAATGAACAGACCCACAGAGCTTGATGTTGTGTTTGAGGGGCAGAGCTGGGAGAGCAGCTCGGTGGTAGGGCCCACCTGTGGATGTGTAAGGCCCTGAGCTTGATTCCCAGCATTAGAAAAGAAAAACTAATACTAGCACAAATAATTTTGTTAGATGAGTGTTTTCTCTGCATGTATGTCTGTGTACTACATGCATGTCTAGTGTGCAAGAAGGCCAGAGGAGCACACTGGGTCCCCTGGAACTGCTGTTACAGACATTTTAAAATAGCTATGTGGGTACTGGGAATTGGACTGGGGTCCTCTAGCCATCTCTCTAGCCCCTATATAGTTGTTTTTTTTAAATATTTACCCTCAAAGACCACCATTGAAGGGGCTGAAGAGATGGCTCAGTGGTTAAGAACAAACATTGTTCTTGCAGAAGATTGAAATTTGTTTCCCAGCACCCACATCTCACAACCTTGGGGAAGCCTCTTCTGATCCCTGTGTGCACCCAGACATAGCTGGCCTACATTCACACAAACACACATATACATAAGTAAAAATTAAAAATAGTACCAACGAAACAAACTTGTCTTCCAACATCAACAGCTTATTCATCCCGCAGCCCACAGGATGGCTGGAAACCAAATGCATATATAGACTTGTATATATAATTTAACTTAGCAAACTATGAAGTTTGATGAAATATAAAACATTTATCCAAGGAGCATTTTTGTAAATTTTTTATTATAATTTTTAGTATTTGTGCATGTGTGTGCAGGTGTGCGTGTGACTGTGCCAGAGTCATGCATGTGAAGGTCATAGGGCTCTTGTGGGAGTTGGTTTTCTCCTTCTACTATGTGAACTCGGGGTTTGAACTCAGTCTTCAGTCTTGGTGGCAATTACCTGTACCCATGGAGCCATCTTGCTGACTTCAAGCAACATTTCTTTTTGTTTCTTTATTTAATTATTTTATTTATTTATTTTGAGACAGGGTCTCACTATGTAGGCCTTGCTGTCCTGAAACTTACTATGTAGTAGACTAGGCTGGCCTTGAACTCACAGAGGTCCACCTGCCTCTGCCTCCTTAAGTGCTGGGATTAAAGGTGTGTGCCATCATGCCTGGTTGATATTTCTTTTAAAATGTAAATTTTTTTTTTAAATGTGTATAGTGTTTTGGTTGCATGTATGTACCTATTTCCCCCAGAGGCCAGAGGAGGTGTTGGATCCCCTGGGACGAGAGTTATAGATGATTATGGTTATGAGCTGTCGTGTGGGTGCTGGAAAAACCTAGGTCCTTCCTCTGGAAGTGCTCTTCACAGCTTAGCTGTCTCTGCAGTCCCTTTACACAACATCTCTGAACAGCTTAGCTGTCTCTGCAGTCCCTTTACACAACATCTCTGAACATCTTAGCTGTCTCTGCAGCCCCTTAGCTGTCTCTGCAATCCCTTTACACAACATCTCTGAACAGCTTAGCTGTCTCTGCAGTCCCTTAGCTGTCTCTGCAGTCCCTTTTTACACAACATCTCTGAACAGCTTAGCTGTCTGTCTCTGCAGCCCCTTAGCTGTCTCTGCAGTCCTTTACACAACATCTCTGAACAGGGAACCAAGGATATACTTGGAGATCTTTATGATTCTGGGAATTAAGAAATATTTATTTATTTAATTTATTGTTACATGTGTGTGTATAATGTGTGTGGTGTGTGGGAGGGCATATGTGGAGGTCAGAGGACTTGGTTCTCTTTTCCACCTTTATGTGGGTCCTGGGCATCTAACTCAGGTCACTGGCTTGGGGTATAAGCAGCCTTTACTTGCTGAGCAAATTCTAAACTTATTAACAATTCAGAACAATTATAAACCCATTTTAATGTGCTGAATGATTGCTGTATTACCAATATTGCCCAAAAGTCAAGACACTTTATGGCCCATATTCATTTTTACTTTTATAAGCCCTGTTGCTACCTTCATTGCCTGAATGATCTTCTATATGAAATGATGCATTCCTATCCAGAGGAGGCCAAATGGCCACCATTAGCAGCTTTGTTTTTCTATTCTATATCAATGAACTGGAGAAGAAGTTTTTAATACCAAGGAACACAATCTAATAATCTGCTTCCTCCTCTCTGGCCTGCTGCCCACCACTGGGGCCCCTGACTCTTACTGTGCAGGTGATGGGAAGTGACATTGTTCTGTTGGCCTGGAAGGCCTCATACTCCTGAGACTGCAGAGTTTTGCAATCCAGGGAGTAAGGGAAAAGTGAGACAGAGTCCTGCATAGCCTACCTGATGAGTTTGGGGCCAGTTCAAGCTAATAAAATCCCCCCTCTCTCCATATATCTATATCTATCTATCTATATCTATCTATCTATATATATCTATATATCTGAGGATTCCTAGAATCATTATACACAAAAAGAGGAACTTCATCTGAGTTCAAGGCCAGTTTGGTCTACAGAGCGAGTTCCAGGACAGCCAGGGCTACACAGAGAAACCCTGTCTTGAAAAACCAAATAAAATAAAATAAAATAAAGCCAGAAAATACTCATACACATAAAATAAATAAATTAACAATTTTTAAAAAGAGGAACCCCTTAAGGCAAAAAGATATCAACTTTAAGAGCAGTCTTTGCAGAGGAACAGGAATCTCTTAGGGAAAGACCCAAGGAGAAGGGCACACAGCAAGGCTGTCCCAGTCTGCACTCAGCAATGAAAGCCTTTAGATCGAGGACTCCTAAAACCCTGAGCTGTCTGTCTGTTTGATGTTAGCTTCTACAGTATGTGTCCCAAGGGCTGATTCCTTCCTTCGGCCTCAGGCCACATTACCCAGATTTTGTGTGGGGATCATAGCAGCAGCCTCCTGAGGTGACACACACTCGTTAAGGTCACCATTGAAAGGGGTGACCACACTGTCTCCTCTTCTTTGTTGCATTTTTTCTAGCAGCTTGTCCAGGTCATCTCCTGTGTCAAAATACAGTGGATTTAAGAAAGTTATAATGAGCACCCTGCCGAGTGGTCCTTATCAGTATCAGACGAGATGACTGGGCTGGGCTCTCATCAAGATTTGTGAGATGGTCTGCAATTGTGGCGGAATTCCTGCCTGGCCATCTCTCCGCAGTAAGAGCCATTCTCGATGGCATTCACCTCTGTGAGCTTACAACCAACACACTTTCCACGCTGGCTCGCTTTTAGCTTGCATAGTGTACAAAAGCAGGCAAAAAGAGGCTCTGTCTCTATCTGACATAGGAAAAAACTCAGATCCAGGGAGCGACAGAGAAAACAGCCCGAGGTCAGCAACAAGGCCACAGCTGAGCCAGGTTCTAATCCCAGCATACTTGTGCCTTCCTCTGGACCTCACATGGTTTCCTGTGGTGGTCATCACCGTGATAAACCACTCCGAATGAAAACTCCGCCACCAAGCCTAAGCCCCATCTTCATCCCCCTACAGGCTGAGATTTAAATTCAGACAATCACGCAACTAGGGCTGGCAGGGAGGCCCAGTCTTACGACCACTTACCTAATGAGGTGGTTCTGAAGTGTGACGCCAGGAAACTGACCTTTCCCGTGATGAGCTCATAACTAATTTCTTTCAAAAACTCACTTGTGGTAAGCATGCTCTCTGCCAGAGCCCGGGACTGATGCTGACCTGAAGGACAGAGAGCAGGGTGGTGACTCATGCCTGGAGCTAATACGTGCTGCAGCATTGACTACGACAGCTGCAGAAATGACAGACTCTAGAGCTGCAGGGACTGAAGAAGGTCATGAATGTCACTTTAAAGACTGTCTACAGCAACAACAATAAAATATTCGTAATTGAGACCAGCGACTAAATGGAAATGACATGTTTTATGTCTGAAATTGTAAAAATGTATGCATGCATATATTTAAAGGCAGAGAAGTCCAGGAAACGTAATAGTGTGTTTACATGGTTGTTGTAAGGAATGACCTGAAAAACAAGCTTGTGTGGAACCATTTTTAAAATTAAAATATGAATGATCACACAGCCAGGAAAAGCTCTCTAAAACCCTGACATAGAAGGGTGGCACACAGTTTGGCTAGAGTGGGGATGGGATTTGATCTCTTTGGTATGAAGTAGTGAGAGCCATTCACTGAAGAAAAGAGAAATGACTGTCTGAGTGTTGATGGCTGGGGGGACCATGCCGGGCAGAGTCAGCACAGTGCATAGCTGGCGTTTCTTTACTTCTTAGGGATTCCTGGAGGGTTCCTGGCGAAAGGGACTGGCTGGCACTGGCAGTGGCAAAGTCTTTACAATTTAGCTGTTGTGTGTGTTTGTGTGTGTGTTTGTATGTCACAAATGCATGCAGGATCCTAAAAATCAGAATAGGGTGCTGGATTCCCCAGAACTGGAATTACAGAGAGTTGTGAGCTGTCATGTGGGTGCTGAGAATTAAACCATAGTCCTGTGCAAGAGAAGTCAGTGCTTTTAACTGCAGAGCCATCTCTCCAGCCCCAACACTTGCAAAACCTTCTAAGGACAGAGTTACATGAGATGAGGGAATCTGCTTCAACAGTTAGTGATGGAGGAAGGTCATTGGCTAATAAAGAAACTGCCTCAGCCCATTTGATAGGCCAGCCTTTAGGTGGGTGGAGTAAACAGAACAGAATGCTGGGAGGAAGAGGAAGTGAGCTAAGACTCAATAGCTCTCCTCTCTGGGGCAGACGCGAGGAAGCTCTGACCCAGGATGGACGTAGGCTAGAATCTTCCCAGTAAGCGCACCTTGGGGTGCTACACACATTAATAGAAATGGGTAATCAAGATGTAAGAATTAGACAGTAAGAAGCTAGAGCTAATGGGCCAGGCAGTGTTTAAATGAATACAATTTGTGTGTTGTTATTTTGGGGCATAAACTAGCCAGGCGGCTGGGAGCTGGGTGGCAGGAACGCAGCCCTGCAGCTCCTTCAACAAGTTAGCTTTTTTAAAGTTTTTAAAAATCTTTTAGATTGTCTCCAGAACCAGGTGCTGAGGCACCAGCCACACTGAGGGCTTTAGCACCTGGTCTGAGAAAGATAGGGAAGTTAAAATTGGGAGGAGAAACCCAAGCCACAGTCATTAGCCAGAAAATAATTGTGTGGATGCTGGAAACATCCAATGGTTACTTTTCAAATACATATGTTAGAATGAATGCATTAAACAGACAAAGTCCCAACCCAACTCACCTAATACAACCACACAAAATTCATTTCCTCTGATTTTCGATGCACAAATTGCTACGACATAATCCGGTAGTCTCTGATAGTGTTTGGTCTCGCTGAGAAGCCTTAGTGTCTCTGAAATGCCCTCTGCCAGAGAGTTTTGGGTCACGATCACATGAACCATGTCTTGAGACACACTGGCAGCTAATCTAGCAAGCCAGGGGAGCTGTCCTGGTGACACGGGTGTACACGGAGCACCCATCTGCAGGGTTCGCTCTCTCACAGTAAATTCCTGCATGGCTTTCAGCATGATCTGCTCAAATTCTTCCCTGAGAGGTATCTGGTCAGGACCTATATTGAAGAGAAGTACAGCTAGAAGGGAGAAAACGCATAGTGCCTCACACCCAAAATTTCTCTAAACCCTCTACACTCCAACCAGCAAGTCTGTGCTTTCATCTTGCAGAGGTCCAAAGTCACGGCTCATACGGTTAGGAAACTCCCTTTTCACCTCTCTCTGGCCTCAGCTTTTAGAACTTAGGCTCTGACCCCATCCTCTAATGATGTTCTTTTTCAAGGGGGATTATGCTAAGGTAAAAGACTGTTGCGTGTCCTGGGAGGTGATCACTTCCCAACCTTGGAATTATAGATTCTGCTAATGACTAATAAAATGAGCCAACACACTGGTGTATGATCAATTTTAGGTTCCATTAATTTTTTATGCATAGATACTTAAAATATTTTAATGTATTGTCTTCACCTAATTTTGACATTATTCATAAGAAAATGAGTTATTTTCCCAATGTACATGTTACACAGCCTCCAACTTTCCCCAGACAGAATACTCCTGCCATCTCATTCTCCTCCCGTCCTCGGGATTGTTAAATATGACATCTGGCCCCTTTGCCCAGCCATAGTTCAGCTAAGCTCTCACTGACGACCTGTGGCCCTGGAATTAGAGGGATTTTGTTTCTTATTGTCTTTAGAAGAGAATCAGAAGGCATCCAAGTGGCACAAATCAACTAAGATTTCTACCTTTAGTTTAAATTAAAACCTAGGGGATATAGTGACTTGTTCTGCTTTTTGCCCTGGTGTGAATCAAGACTTGAAACTCAAGGGTTTCTGTCAGCAGGGGCCCACTCTTCACTGTCTGTGATCTGAGGCTGATCACTGGCTCTAACCCCAGGCTATAGCACAGAAGTGAGGATACAGAAGACCTCTGCCTGGAAGGCAGCTCAGAGTCAGAAACTCCTTCCCTCTGATGACAGTTAAGTGGTCCATTTTTGGAAAGTAAGAAAATAAGGGGCTTAATTATTATTTTTTAAAGACAAGTGAGATTATACAAAATAAAACAAAAAATAGAACACACTCCAAAAAATAAGTAATTTATATCGGAGAAGCCACTTTTCCAGGACTGGTTGAGGGCCAGGGAGAATGGAAATCTCATAGATAGCTGATTGTTTTCTGTACATAGAAGCAAGAAAACAATAATGCTTACATCAAATTTGTTTCTGGAGCTAGAGTAATAGCCTGGCACATGAGTAAGGCTCTAGATTTGATCCCAGGATACCACCCACCCAGCCTAAAACATTGGTTTCTCACATTCTTCCCAGCCCTTCCCCTTGCTAGGCAGTGGTGAACAGTAGGGTTTTTGACTTTGTTTTTAAATCAGTTGGGAGTCATTCAACCTCCGATCTTCATTCAACTTTAACAAACTGGAATCAGGGTTTGTAGCCACCATAAGTGGCTGATTTTGTACCACAAAATGAAGAGAAGGCGGTCATTTTTTATAACCTTCTGTCGGAGCACATGACAAATGGAAAGCAGGTGGCATGTCTCCGTTTCCTAGTGTCTTCCACGAAAACCTGAAAGGTTCAGCGGCCCTGTTTACAGTTGTAACCAGGCACTGGCAACACATTCTCTTGGGATATACAAAGAATCATCCAAGGCATTTGGGAAAATAAAGTGGTATAGCATGCTCCCAGAATTCTTTGTAATCTTAAAACTCATTTGTAAAGTTTTGATCGAATTACTGTTAAGAAACAAAAAGTGGAGGGATCATGTGCTCAGGTTCAGACAGGAGAAGATCTCTTAGGAGAACACATAGTCTCACTTCTCCATCTCTACACTAGGTTCAGACAGGAGAAGATCTCTTAGGAGAACACATGGTCCCCACTTCTCCATCTCTATCACTCTCAGTTCTGGTTGGATTCTAGGAGCCCAGGAATGGTGACTTTCCCTGTGAGAGCTGTCTCCCTCAGCATCAGCTCTGATGGCTTTCCAGATGGAGCCACCACGGTAGGGAAGGACACATTTCCAGAAGACCTGGAGCCACCTGGACTTGCTGATTCAATTATTTACTTCAAAAGGGTTTTCAGTTTGTGAAATAACAGAAAAAAAATTAAGTGGCTATTATAGAAAAGTCCCTTTCTTTCCAAAGACTCCTGCTTTTCTCTTTTCTTGTCAATGTTCAGAGAAACAAAGTATTAAAGCTGTCATTTTAGAAGTTCAGATAACTTTAAAAAATGTCTATAATCTATGCATATGTGAAAATATATGCTTCTCAGAATTAGAGGGGCAGAACAGTTTTTAAAAGCATAACAGGACAATTTTTTTGGGGGACAGCGAAGTCCCCATACACACCTAGGTGAAAGAAAGAAGAAGGATAGAGGGGGGAACAGAAGGATGGCAAGGGAGAGAGGAATGAGCTATTTATGCTATACACTAACATAAATATATTTTATATATGCATGAAATATATAAATTCTAATGCATGAAAGTAAAATTCTGGAAAGAGGTGATCCTGTAGAGCAGAAAAGAATCTTGTTTAAATCAGAAATGTCTAAGCTAAGAGATTTTTAATAATTTGAAAGAAGATATTTTATTTTTGTCATGTGGTTTGTTTAATTAATTAGGACCCTGGTTTTCTTGGAAGGTTAATAAGATTGAAAAGAAAAGACAGAATTTGGGCCTGCTTGCCTTACAGAAAGCACGGTGCTCTGAAGTTCTGTTCTCACTGGTTCTGGGGTCGTTTTTCAGATCTTGGAAGACAGTCCACAGTCCAAAGTAGGGAGATTTAAATTTATGACCCCAAAGGAGCCAGAACGAGGCGATTTTTATAATTGTTTTACTTACCAACAAGAACATTTTCAAGTTACAGGCTTATTATAAAAGTAGGTTCCATGGGAAATGTGGCTTAAAAACCCATCAGGGTGGATACCATATCGAGGTGGAACCTCCTGGGAAACGAGGGATCCTTGCCAATGCTGCTACATGACCCTGGAAAGGCTGTATATGGCTTGCTGAAAATTTTGCTTTTTAAATACTATCCCAGTATTTTTGTGGTTTCTTAACACTGCAGTACTTTGTAACATTAAAAAAAAAGCGCATAAGAACATATAAAAATTTTTGTATGAATTTGCACCTCAAACATTTTCCTAAGCAAATCAATGGCGTGATATCCCAGAGAGAATATAATTAGGCTGCATATTTGAAGGCTCACTGAAGTTTGCAAAATAAAGGGCATTTTAATGTAAATGCTGCTGAGCCACCAGTGTTCTGCAGGGACTCACCTAGGTTCAGAGGTTCATGACCTTTGCTTCCCCCTTTCCTAAGGCCTTCCTTCCGAAAGGGTTAGGGCGCATCTTGAGACTCGACAGTAGGGGGAGCAATTTGTTTCTTTTATGACAAGCGTGGAGAAAAGGGAAGGAAAAAGTCAGAAGACTGGAAAGATGAGTCAGGCAGGCAGAGGAATTGAAAAGGACACAATGCATTCCAAGAAAAACAAACAAACAGACAATTTCAAAGGTTCCTAGTCCATGATTGTGGAGAACAACTTACCTAACCGAACAAGGTACTGTATGGTCAGAAGGATCATGCTTTCCACACTCAGGAGCTGGGTGCTAGCCAACCCCAGCTGCTCCAGATCCTTGTTTTCCAGCTGGGGGATCTTGTAGCAATTCACCAGCAGAGGACTCACAACAATGTCACCAACATTTCCATAGAAATAGGGTAAAGTGCCATAGCCTGCTCCAAAAGAAACACGTCAGTAGGCACTTCTGAGTTCCAGTCAGGCACAGCAGTTCAGCGAGACTCAAGGATGCTAGAAATCCTCTGCCCCCCCTCCCCCGCCCCCCAGAAGGCCGCCTTAGGGAATTCACCCGCATGCTGCACATTCTATAGAAACTGAGGGGCCACTCCACTTACACCTCGATTTTCCACAGAAGGTTACTGTGAACACTATAGTTCTTCTACAGAGGATTTATGAAATGATAAAGAGTTCCTGATCAACTTTCTTTTCAGATGAGAAAACAAATATGACAGCATCTCACTTTGCCAGTGTTCTGGGAGATGGGGGAAGTTAAGCCAAACTCACTGATAAGCCAGTGTTCTGCTAACGAGCAGTAAACACTTAGAGATCTCCTACTTATTTTTCTATATTAGTGCTTGATTTTTTTCAGACTTTCATGTGGATGAATATTTTGCCTGCATGTATGTCTGTGCACTGTGTGTGTCTGGTGCCCACAGAGTTCCGAAGAGATCCCCGGAAACGCTAGCTAAGGATGGTCCGGGAACTGACCGTGGGTTCCCTACAAAAGCAGCAGTGCTTTCAACAACTTGTCTGCACTTTAGCCTCTACATTGGTGTTGTTTTTTATCAGTTTTTTTTTTCTGAATGTCAGGGGATTCTGTAAAGTACCTTATATAGGAGAGAAATCCATTGAGAAGGTACCTGCTTTGGTGGTGCAGTAAAGAGAGGCACCCCTCTCTGCAAGATTTTCTTTCAAGACAGGGTCCCACTAAGTAGCTCTAGATAGAACTCAATAAGTAGACCAGGTTAGCCTTGAACTCACAGAGACCTCCCATGTTGGGAGTAAGGGCATGTGCCACCACACCTGGCCTCTGTGAGACTTTCTAAAAGTCAAGTGTCAAAAGAACAAAGGGCCCACATTCCTCATCTTTTTAAGGCTTAGCTGCATCATGCAGATGCCAAGAACCTCCCCAGCCATATGGAATTTAAACACTGGGATTCCCCCAATACTTCCAGTCCCAGGATCAGTGGATAGGGTGACCTGATAAAGCTTGAAGTAAAAACAGCCAAGTCAACAGAGTCAGGCCGGCACAGGAGCAGACAAGGAGCAGGCAGTGAGTCATGGAAGGCCCCCTGCCTGCTTTATCATGGAAAGAAAACAGACAGCCTCCCTCTGGTCTAGACCTGCCTGCCTACGAGGCCTTCAGATATGGGGCTGAAAGGTACTCACTTATTGGAGAATGTAAGAGTTGGAATCCTAGAATTTGGACTCCTAAACAACCTTCTGCTTTCATGGACAGTCAGCAGTGGGGGAGGATGGCTCAGGAAAGATGCTGACTCACAGAGATAGATGATGCCCCAGGGCGAGCCTGCTGTTCTGATGTGAGGCCTGCCAGTTGGCTTAGTTTGTTTCTTTGCTTTGAGGATTGGCCCTTTCCGCAATCTGTCTACTTTGAGCAAACTTGGCACACAGCTCAAATCTCAGGGTCTGATGGTTTTCTAAGACCCTTCCAGACAGAGGTAAACCCCCTCTTCTAAGACTTCCTGAAGCTGTTGGCTGTGAAGCTGTACCCGCTCTCATAGTCCAATGGGTCAAGATGTTATCCTTGTGTAGAACTGTTGTTTCCTAACTCCCCACTGCACATAGACTCTCGAAGGAAAGAGTTTTATTCTCAGCTTCAAACCAGATGCTTAATACTGCATGAAGGGACTGGCCAAGGAAAGCTGATACAATCAATAAAGACAAATACACATACTCATGGGTGTGTGAATGAACCCACAGACCAGGGGCTGGAGACACAGGAGTCTAGACGATGGAATTCTTCTCCCTTACCTATCAGGATCACTGGTCTAACTCCTGAGTTACTCAGCAGGTTTTCAGGAATAATCACAGTTTCCCCTGCAGGGACAGGCCGAGGCTGGAGAATTCCAGTTAACGGGGTCTGTGGAACTGGGGTAGATAAGAGGGGCTCTGGAAAGACAAGATGGTTTGACAAGAAAGATTAGGCTTAGGGGCTAACTGGAAAGCTTCAGAAGCCAGTGCAGTTTTAATACTTCAGAAATGTTAGAACTCTAATAGTTCATTGCGTATGGTTTCCTTTTCACTTACATACGCATTACAGAAAATTAGAAGAAAACAGGTAAGAAAACAAATCAGTCACAACCATTTCACTGTGGATAATGACCATGAGGGCTTCTTCTAAGCAAACTTTTGGATTTGGCTGTGCAATTTATATTTACTATGCCCTAGTGACCAAAGGTGTGGTTTTCCATTACATGAAGCTGAAAACAGAAACATGTGACAGAGATATTCATTATTAATTATTTCTACCTGGAAGCAACTGTGGTAACATATTGCCATAGTTCTTTGCATATGTGAGATTTTTTTTATCAGTTTTTAAAATTATTTAAGCAAATTAAAAAGGTTTTGGGGTGGGAGCACTTGCTACTGTCTACTTAGAGGGACAGGTAGACAAATGTTTGAACACTTAGCTGTGGACACCTTTGGTCACAGTCTGGTTAGTATGAAGGAGAGCCAGGTAACTCTTCCTATTATAGGCATAGACTAAACCATGAAGCCAAAGTAATCAAGACGCATCATACAGAGAACAAATCCTAGAAGGCCAACTCTCACACCATTGCTGACAAAGCAAGTCCAAATGTGCCCGTGGGGTGACGCTGTTTGCATCAGACCCTATACAACAAATGTATACAACCAATGAAAGGCTAAGATCAACTGTGATAGTACATGAACTTATAGGGAAGGACTATGTTATGGAGACAAAATATTAACTATCACTATCAATACCCTTACAAAATACTACTAATCACAATAATTGATGGCGGGCAGGAACAGAACTTATCTCTGCTAATAAAAGAGAAACGTTTAACTATATCTTCAGTTAAAATCTCACCAGTTCTTGAAAGAGGGCGAACTGTGGGAACAGGCACAACTAGAGCAGGCTGGGAGACGGGCGACCCCGGATACCATCCCCGGTGTCGTTTCTTTGGTGGGCCAGAAATGAACATATTAGCTGAAAACAAAAAGGAAACACAGTTTTGTCTGCAGCAATGGAGAAGAAAGAAAGAACAGCAAGGGATCATAGGGTCTTTGCCTTGATCTGCTAGGAGGGCCCAAGTCACTGTCCTACGGGCAATGGTAGAGTTGAAAAAAGTCACGCTAACAATTCAACACCGCACCAATAGCTGCAACCACGTGCTGTTTTACACGCTACGGTTTATACAGATTATTTGATTCTATTGACATCTCTGTTAAGTTATGGGGAAAATCTACTTGGTAAACTAAAAAAAAAGTATCTTGTGTCATACAAATCTTTTCAAATAGAGTTTTGTGCTTTGGTAAGTAAAAGATGTGAGTTTTCAAGGTTCTTCACTATAATTTTGATTAAACACTTATTTCCCAGTTAGTTTTAACCACAAAGAATCACCAAGACATTTAACAGTTAAGCAAGTTTAAGCAAAGGGAAGGCTCTACAATGTGTGTTTGGATAATTAGCTGTTGAAACATCTGTAGCTCTGGGCTAATGGAATGCTTTAGTTGGTAAAGTGCCACACAAACATGAGGACCTGAGAATAACCTTCGGAATCAATCTTAAAAAAAAGCCAAGCTCAAAGGCACATGCCTCAAAATCAATGCTGTGCCAACCAGAGGATCCTGGGGATCACTGAACAGCCAGTCTACTGAACCTGTGGACTCTGAGCTCAGCCAGAGACCCTGTCTCAGAGGATAATGTGGAACGCTACAGGGGAAGACAATCAATGTAGACTTTCAGTCTCCACTCACTTGTAAGTAAGTACACAGCTCCCCTCTCTCTCTCACCTCTCTCTCTCCTTTTTCTCCCTCTCTCTCCCCTCTCTCTTCCTCTTTCTCTCCCCCTTTCCCCCCTCCTCTCTCTCTCCCCTCTCCCTTCTCTCTCCTCTCTCTCTCCTCTCTCTCTTCCCCTCTCTCTTTCTCTCCTCTCCCTCTCTCTCCCTCTCTCTCCTCACTTCTCTCTCTCCTCTTTCTCCCCTCTCTCCCTCCCTCTTCCCTCTTTCTCTTCCTCTCTCCTCTCTCTCTCTCTCTCTCTCTCTCACCTCCCTCCCATTCTTTCTCCTCTCTTCCCCCCTCGCCCTCTCTCCTCTCTCTTTTCTCTCTCTCCTCTCTGTACCCCGTCTCTCCTTCCTCTCTCTCCTCTCTCTCCCTCTCTCTCCTTTATCTCCCTCCTTTCTCTCCCTCCCTCTCCTCTCTCCTCTCTCCCCTCTTTCTCCCTCTCTCTCCCTTGTCTCTCCTTCCTCTCTCTCCCCCATCTCTCCTCTCTCTCTCCATCCCTCTCTCTCTCCATCCCTCTCTCTTTCTCTCCCCCTCGTCTCTCTCTCCCTCCCTCTCTTTCTCTCCCTCTCTTTCTCTCCCTCTCGTCTCTCTCTCTCTCTCTCTCTCTCTCTCTCTCTCTCTCTCTCTCTCACACACACACACACACACACACACACACACACACACACACTCAGAGTACCTTGGTCTATGGATGTGTAGGTAGGTCTTGGTGACAAAGAGTAGTTCCCGGAGCGAGTTGGCATGGAACTGGATGTGCCACTCTTCCCTCCATGGCTGCTGGTTCCATTGGCTGCTTCTGTAGAGCAGAAAAACAGCACTTTAGAACAGAGGTTTGGAGGATACTGTGAAACAGCAGACATCTGGTAAACCTCACACTTGAGGATTCATGGAAACTTCACAGACAGTACTCAGCCTAGTTGCATAAAACCACTACAACTGTTAGAACAATCAGCTTCATTAAACTTAACTGTCAGATAAGAAAATGACTGGAATAAATTAAAAAACTAGGTGTACCCAAAAATAATTTCCTGGGACCCTGAGAAATCTTTTAGAATTTTTTTTGAAGAAGTCTTTGGAGATAGTACGTAAATATGAGGGAAAATTTAATAGAATTTAATTCTACTTCATGGAAAATTCCAAACATACAAAAGGAGAGAGAACGGTACAATGCATATTTATGCACCCACTGCCCAGGTCCAGCATTGGTATCATGCAGCCGCCTGTCTTGTCCATTGCACTCTGACCTGCTTCCCGGCACAGATGCACAGTGCTCTGTTTAGTCAGAAGCAACCTAGCCAGCTATAATTTCACTGGTAAGCACTTCTATAGATAGTGTTAAAAGAACCTTTAAAATAAATTTGCAATAAAATTATTATACTTAAAATCAATAGTGATTAATAATTTAATACAATCAAATATCCCACCAGTATTCTAAACTTTCTCAGTTACCTCAGAAATAGTTTAAAGAAATTCAAAAAAGAACTTTATGTTTGAATTTAGGTGACCTACATTTCAGGCTTTTTAAAAAAATACAAGATTAACTTTTATTATTTTTAATGTGTGTGTGTCCCTACGTGTACTACCTATGTCCAAAGAGAGACTGGATACCCTGGAGCTGAAGTTATCGGCAGATGTGAGCTAGCTGCTGTGGGCACTGGGAACTGAACTCGGGTCTCTGACCAAGACCATCGCCGCTCTCATCCATGGAGTCATCTCTCCAGCCGCCTCAGATTCCGTAGTCTAAAGGGATTTCTTTTCTTTTAAACAAATACTTCTTGGGATTGTTTTCCTTCTGAAAAGTCTTGAAGAATTTGCTGACTCAATGTTTCTAGTGTCACTGAATGCCCACGTGCCCACTGTATTTCCAATAAACTAATTGTTAGAGGCCTAGTCAAATTCATATTTATTTATTTATTTATTTGTTTGTTTGTTTTTTGCAAAAGAATCTCAAAGGCAGCTTTAAATGTCCACCAGGAAGCGAAAAATGGACAGTTTTCCTCTCTTTTGAGGATGTTAGGAACAATTAGTAGGGATTCAGAATCTGTCATCCTAACTCTTTTTTTTTAAAGTTTCATTTTTAGGGTCCAGGTGCGGTGGCACTCGCTTTTAATCCCAGCACTCAGGAGGCAGAGGCCGGTGGGTCTCTGAGTTTGAGGACAGCCTGGTCTACAAAGTGAGTTCCAGGACAGTCAGAACTGCTACACAGAGAAACCATATCTCAAAATAAAAATAAGTAAACAAATAAATTTTCATTTTCATTTTTAATTATGTGTCTATGTGTGGGCTTGTGCATATGTATGTGGTAACCACAGAGTCTAGAAGAAGCCATCAGATTCCCTGTATTGGAATTATAGGCAGTTGTGAGTTGCCTGAGGTAGGTCTGGGAGCCAAACTCCCATCCCTTGCCAGAAGCACCATGCATTCTTTTTGTTGGTTTATTTGTTTGTTTTTTAAGACGGGTTTTTCTGTGTAGTCTGGCTGTTCTGAAACTAGCTGTTCTGAAACCAGGCTGGCCTCGAACTCATGGACATTGACCTTCCTCTGCCTCCTGAGTGCTGGAATAAAGGTGTGTGCTACCACTTCTTGACTAGCAGCATGCATTCTTAACTGCTGAGCTTAATTCTTGCATTATGGAGTCAACTGGATGATTTTAGTAACCACCTTGATTACTGATCTATCACTTCATTAATTTTTTCACCATTGTGAAAACTTGACTTTAGTTTTTCATATCTAAAATCTAACTAGGAGGTAAATACTGCAAGAGTCGCTGGGCTGGAGTAAAAATCATGGCGGGTTCTGTCAACAGTTGTGTCTAACTTTTGGAACATGTCCCAGAATGACCGGTCTCTGTCTTACTATTTCTTCTCCTTAAGCTCTGGATTTTTCTAGGATTCCATCCTTCATTCATAGCCTGCCTCATCAGGTATCTTTCATCACCTTCACTGGATTATGAGACATTTGGGGTCAGGCATTATTTTTTTTTTTATAATCTCAGGTGCTAGTCACAGCAGGAGCACAAAAAAATGTTTGTTGAACAAAATCAGACTCTAGTCTTCTGTGAACAAAATGTCATTTTGACTCTTCTGGTTGGAGCCCAGAGAGAGCAAAGCTTTGTCCAGTATTGCATTATTCTAGGCAGTTCCATGACATCTTTGACTGGCAGGCAGAAGGAGTGTTGGAGTGTTTGCTTTTGTCAATTAAAGTTCACACAAGTCATTTGGTATTTGCCAAAAATAAAAAAAAAGTAGTAAGGAAGGAAAACATCACCTGCAGCAAAAGTCTTTCCTACAACCTGCAAAGATAAAGGCAGTGGTTTCACAACATTCTCATTCCGGGTCGGGTCCTGAGCGCCACTTACATTGATTGCAGAATTAGCTCGACTGAGAGCCGGCGAATCTTTAAAATGAGAGAGGGTGTTTAATTAGCAAGCATTTATATATGCAGGAAGAAAGTTAATTTGGCATGGGTGAGCTGAGGAAAGCAAGAGGGAGGGTTTAGCGTCTTCTTGGAACTATTGAGATGCTTTAGAAAGGTCACTTTCTATGAATTCAGGTTTATTTATTTTCTACTTAACAAAAATGTACTAGGTGTTAGGTGCTACTGTAAGTACTTCAAATATATTAATTCACTTGATCCACATAATACATTATCTGGTCAAACTCAGATGACCTGTCATTGGGTTCATATCTATGTTCCATATCTAAATTATGCCCACGATTCCTTCAAAAACACATTTTAATGAGATGTAGCCATCTCTGTACAGATAAATTTTTTCTGTGTCCATGCTTGTGTGCAGTCATATGTGTATGAATATATACGTGTGTAAGAATATGCATGTGCACATGTGTATGAATATATGCAGTCATATGTGTGTGAATATATGTGTGTAAGAATATGCACGTGCACGTGTGTGCAGTCATATGTGTGTGAATATATGTGTATAAGAATATGCATGTGCACGTGTGTGCAGTCATATGTGTATGAATATATACGTGTGTAAGAATATGCACGTGCACGTGTGTGCAGTCATATGTGTATGAATATATACGTGTATAAGAATATGCACGTGCATGTGTGTGCAGTCATATGTGTATGAATATATATGTGTGTAAGAATATGCACGTGCACGTGTGTGCAGTCATATGTGTATGAATATATACGTGTGTAAGAATATGCATGTGCAAATGTGTGCAGTCATATGTGTATGAATATATACGAGTGTAAGAATATGCATGTGCACATGTGTGCAGTCATATGTGTGTGAATATATACATGTATAAGAATATGCATGTGCAAATGTGTGCAGTCATATGTGTATGAATATATACGTGTGTAAGAATATGCACGTGCACGTGTGTGCAGTCATATGTGTATGAATATATACTTGTTTAAGAATATGCATGTGCATGTGTGCAGTCATATGTGTATGAATATATACATGTATAAGAATATGCATGTGCACGTGTGTGCAGTAATATGTGTATGAATATATACGTGTATAAGAATATGCATGTGCACATGTGTGAAGTCATATGTGTGTGAATATATACGTGTGTAAGAATATGCATGTGCACATGTGTGCAGTCATATGTGTATGAATATATACATGTATAAGAATATGCATGTGCACGTGTGTGCAGTAATATGTGTATGAATATATACGTGTATAAGAATATGCATGTGCACATGTGTGAAGTCATATGTGTGTGAATATATACGTGTGTAAGAATATGCATGTGCACATGTGTGCAGTCATATGTGTATGAATATATACGTGTGTAAGAATATGCATGTGCACATGCGTGCATGCATGTGTGGAGGGAAAAAGTCATGTCGGGTATCTACCTCAACTGCTGTATACTCTAGGTTTTGAGACAGGGTTTGCTAATTGATTTGGCTAATTGCTAGTGAGCCTCACAGGGATGCTCCTGGGTATGATTTCCCAGCACTGGATTTACAAGTGCTATGAGGTTTGCCTGTAATACAAGCATGTGCGAGGGTAACACACAAGAATTGCTAATTCAAGGCCAGCCTGGGATAGATGGTAACTAAAAAAAAATGGGTGGGCTCCCTGCTGCCTAGCTCAGTATCAGAGGTGCTGAGCCAGCTGTTGAGGGAGAAAAGCCACCAGTCATTTCACCCAGCAGTGAACCCTGAGAGTCACAGTGATGACCAGCATGATGGGAAATGCCATGGGTGCAATAGCAATATGAATGCTATGGGGATAACCAGCTGCCTTCTGTGTGGATATAAGGCCCTCTACACACACAGGAACTGCGTGGTACTGCAAACCTGACAGAAACCTATGGCTCGGGAGCTCTCAGTCCTCCTCAAAGATCCTCTGTGACACAGAAACTCACAACTGGTCAAAGCAGAGAAAGTCAGAATGGAACGGCCGTTCCCATGTCGCTCCCCAAAAAGAAAAAAGGGGAATATCATGGGAGAAGGGATGGGAAAACTATAGGGGCCAGAGGCTTAGGCAGGCCTGGGTGTCTCCTAGATATGGCAGAACTCGAACTCACAGCAGCTGAAGCCACATAGGCCTAAAATCATCACAAATGGGGGGAGGCGTTCATGAGCTCCCACCCTAGCTGAGGAACTACAGGTAGCTGATGGCTGCTAGGGGAGGAGAGTAGCTGGTAGGGCTGCCATACTATGGAGGACAGACATGAGTACACTGCAGAGCAAAGAGAAAAAGATTAGCTGGGTGGTGGTGGCACACCCTTTAATCCCAGCACTCAGGAGGCAGAGGCAGGCAGATCTCTGTGAGTTTGAGACCAGCCTGGTCTACAAGAG